TGGCGAAACGGGTAGACCGCTCTGCGTCCGCATAAAAGAACACCTAGTCGGTAAATCTAAACTAAAACAAAATACTCCACTAGGCGCGCATAGGATGCAAGAACACAACGGAGAAGATTTTGAGGTAGGAGTCACTATCCTTACGCAGGAATCAAAAACATCAGCGCGTAAAACTCTTGAAGCGTTTTGGATCAATGCCAAAAATTCAAAAATGAACCGCTAGGAGGAGTGTCTTGTCATCACGCGTGACCTGGCGCCATACCTCAGGCTGATCCAATGACCTGACATGGACACAGTTATCGACCATGTATTACTCTGTGCGGCGGCTATCCACCAACTAACTTAAATACTTATAACAAATAAACGGTAGGTGTTTGAATGAAGCTGTTTCTTATGCAAATGTAAATCGAATTGTCAAGTTTTATCTGCTAGGGTTATGAAAGTGTTTGGCTGAGTAGATCACATCTCAATTTGACCTTTCCAGGCTCTGAAGAAGGCGAAACCGCCGAAACGTCAGCAATTGTGTTCTAGTAAATTCTATATTAACAACCTCGTGTTTGCTTATTGATGAAAAACGTTGATATAACCCATCGTCCTTATTTCATATGACGAAAGGTGAAGGTGGCTGTCGAAGAAATCTGAGTAGTATTCGTGAATGATTTTCTCCATTGCCTTTCTGGACATTGTAACTGCTCCTTCTGGGCGTCGGAGCGCAGTCGTCTTAGTCACAAGACTTGACGAAACTTCGGTGGGCTTTGCGTTTGCATTTACCAGTCTCTGCGGCTTGGTTGTAACTCAGAAAGCCGCTCATTCTGTTCGTTCCATTCTAATCCGTGGGTCCCAATGTGACGTTCTTCAGACTTTCTTCTTGATGTAATCTTGACGTTGAAATCTCCAATGATGACCTTGAAGAATGTATGGTCTTCTCTATAGAACTTTCCAAGTCCATGTAGAACGTTTCAACTTCTTCGCCGTCATAATTTGATGTCGGCGCGGAAACGACGGGATTGTAAAGCTTAAGCAAGTGTACGTTTTAAGTTATTTATGCCTCCAAACTTAAAATCACGGTGCAGAACATTATTAGGGGAATTGTTATTCATAAAATTCTTGATTATGTTTGTGCTTATGTTTTTTGTTATGGTTATATTTGGGCAGTTGTGTTTTTTATTGTTTTTTTTATGTTTATATTTGAGTAAAAAGACTAGTGGTTCCAAAGTGATACTAATTCGGACTAAGAACTCAAGAACTTGCCCCCACAATTCATCTTTGTTTTCTTTGTTTTTTCTTCTTTCTTTTAATTTGGTTTATGTAGTCACAAATTTATGTCCAGGATTGGACTTTCGCTCTTTTTGGGCGAGATTTTTTTAAACTGCTTTTCTGTGATTAGAAGTTAAAGTAACAACCATTTGTTTGCTCATCAAGAAAAAGCTGAACTATTTGATCAGTGCCGTGGTTATCTTCATAAATAATGGTCCATTTACAGGTTGACACAATTTGTCCATCAGATGATCGCTCAATCGACTTAATACGAAACATTATCACGCAGGTAAATTCAATTTATTCACGAATTGGTATCTATTGACTTTTTTTTCTCTTCTTCGAAAGGTTTTCCTTTTGCCAGAAACAATTGGTACAATGATGTGTAAAAGCTATAATATCTGATCGGACCCTTACTCATTTACTTCTTCTGGTCTTACATTTTGCTTGTGTTTGTTGTGGTTCTATCCGTGATTTGCACATTGCGCAATTTTATCATCTTTGGTAATAGTGGTGTTTATCTATTAGAGAATGAACTTCTTTTTCTTAAATTTTGCACCGTATTCTCCGAAATATTGGCGTTGCAAGTCAAGGTTTTAGAGCACTTGTATGCTTTAAGGGCCCAGTTAGTGTTTCTCGAACCGTTTTTGTTCTAGTTTTTTTTTAAAATACGCTGCGATAGATATCCTAATATGCGGCGCACTGCGGCCAATGTACAATCGGGGAGGGCATGGTAATATTTTCGACAAAGTCTCACTCTTTCAGTCGCATTGCTGTTTGGAACAGCCTAGTGTTGAAGAAGTCGTTTTGTAGACACCAATAAGTGAAACTGTCATCTCGGTGTAACAAGAATACGTGGCTTGTTAACAAAGTTCTGAAGATTTATAATTTTCATTTCCTTCAAACAAGTCCACTCCGAGCTGAGCTCTTTAGTTTCAATTGGGAAACAGTCATGTTCAGCTGCTAATGCTTTATGATCAATTTATGTAACTGTACCTTCGTTCCAATGGCTTACTACCTCATCGTCGCTAGAAGGTGTTTCTGGATGTCGGTCAGGATGCGAAGTACAGCCGACAGCCGAGAGATTCATCTCCCCCGCAGTAGATGCACCCAAGCTGCAAAGGAATCCGGAGCTTCCATAAGGAAGCGCAGCTGAAGTAAACCAGTACCAGAATCCATTACCAACCTGGTGTCAAACTAGTTGCATGGTGAAAAATCTTTCTCTGATCCAGAAGGGCGGCCACTGCCTGTGGTTGTGACGATCTAGGGCAGAATTTGGCCAGTTTGACCATAGGATTCCAAAGAACTATAATAGCTAAACTAGCAAAACTCCGGAAAAGTGGAAATTATGCTGGGTCCGCACAACCATTGAAGCCAGGGCATCCAATCGCAACTTTTTGTATCCTATTTAATCAAGACTGAACATCTTTAATATGTACCGCCTAAGATACATTCATTCATTCATGAATTCGTGTGGAATGCATTCATGAAGAGGCAAACTGGATAACACACAGTGCATTTCTTTTTAGGTACTTTTTTTTTGTTACACAGAGCTTTGGCCGTCCTTTCTGTTCAGTTAACAGCTTGTGATCTAAATATGTGTCATGCATGGCTCCTGAAAAGATCCCCTGTGCATTTAATATTTCGCAAAACTGTTCTTTTTGGATGAGTAAGAATTTGCGGATCTTTTAGAGAACGAGTTCGTTGGTCTGTAATCTGCAAGGTTTTCCTTTATTGTTTAACCTGGTCTCGTGGTGATCACGGTTATTGAATGAAATTGGCAGATACAGAGAACATAGAAATAGACTCACCGCTGGCCACAAAACGCTTTTAAATGCTGCTAGCAGTGTGGTTGTATGGTGGACCACAGTAATATTTAGTAGGTAAAGCCAGAAGGATGCTGAGATATGAACAACACTGAAATCCTCAGGTGCGTTTCGACCCCGCGATTTTTCCGAAGGCTCACATGCTATCCACAGCTATGGGGAATGCCCTGCTTTGCTTTTTTCCTAGCTAGTTTTTTTACTCAAATAATGCTACCAGAAGTCTAGAAAATAGTAGCATACATACCACTCATACCCCTTAAGCGATAGAGCAAGCATTTTCCATTACATTATCACGTTCTCAACCTTGAATTTTTTAGTTGTCAATAAATTATCGTCTATTGTCTAAAACCAGAAAGTTCATGAGCGATATGAAATTAAGCGTCATCTCTTGTGGTAGTGTCGTGCGTTGACTGTTTATTTGATTCAGGTACGTGCTCTTCATCCTAAGTCTAAACGTATTCATATTGGTGCTGATGAGGCGTTCCATATAGCAGAAGATGACAGGTGTAGAATTCGCCTTGCAAAAATGGGAGAAAAAGACAGGCTTCTGGCGGTTGAGAGATTGAAATTGGCACATATAGGAAGGTAAACAGATTGAAAGCTTATTCTTCTGTGGTGATATCGTTCTGAATGTTAACTTAAATTTCTTCAAGAGTATCACAACTCGCACGAAAAGTCGGATTTAGCGAAGTGTTAGCTTGGAACGATATGTTTGATAAATCTGAGGTGGTGGATATGCAGACAGCTGGTCTTGGACAGTTAATCACCCCAGTTGTCTGGGGATACAGATTGGATGTCACGGAGAAGGGCTATTTTCCTGAACACCTATTTGAGAGGTTGTCGCAGGTTAAATGTTTTCCTACATTGTTTCTTTCAATTTGATAGTTATCATTACGGTATTGAACACGTTTCTTGAAAGATCCCTTCATTTTTTTATTTATTTTATGCTTGTCAGTGCTTTCGAAATATTTCTGCGGAATTTTCACTGTTTTTTGTTCGATAATGGTTACTTACAGGTGTTTCCCACTATTTTCTTCGCGAGTGCATTTAAAGGTGCCAACTCAGAGGGAGAGAACTTCATTGACATTGATCGATATTTCCAGAATCAGATGTCGTATGTAAAGCTGTATAGGGAAAATAGAAAGGTTAGTACGTAGATTATGTCCTTGTTTGGGTTTTTTTCTCGCTGACGTTGCGAGGATTGTCTTCCCATCCCGGCCATGTCTTTCTAAGTGCGAAGTAATTATCTAACAAAACTTTTCGTTTTCTACCTCATTCCTATATTTTAAGATTTTAAATTATAGAAAATCACTCGAAACTCTAGCTGTCCAAGGTACCTCGCCACTGACTAATGCGTACCTTTTGTAATGCAGCTGTAGGACGGTCATATTTATACCTGCTTCGTTTCTACGCTTTTAAATCTTTATATTGCAGGCTCTGGACGGTCGTGTTGATGGTATAATACTGACGGGTTGGCAACGTTATCGACATTATGCTCCCTTATGTGAATTACTGGCAATTTCTCTCCCGTCACTAATCACTGATCTCGTCTACTTCGATGACGTCACACGCCATCGTGATGAATTGTGGAGTTTTGTGAAGGTCTATAGTGTTTGTTTCGTGTACGATTTCTATAACTTTGTGTAAAAGGATTGCTATACATTTCTTCTACCATGTTTATTCACTCCTCACCACAGTATTTTTTTCTGTTAGAACTAGAGGGGCCGCAACCTTGAAAACGCGCATTTCAGGCCGCGAAACCACGAGATCTCGAAAAATTGCGTAATTGCAGTAGACGGGCCGCGCCACACCTTAAACCGAACACAAACTGTGCAATTTGACCTACATCCCAGAAAACGCGAAATTAGGCAAGATGAAGCGCGCAAACTCGGTATTAAGCGAGGCACTGTGTTCGCGGACTAGATACGGTAGCGAACATGTGCCAAGTCGTTTTGTGCATCGTCATTAAATATAGTACGGTAAAATAGTTCCACTTTTGCCTTCGGTTTAAAAAAAATTTTTTATCTAATCGGTTTTGTTAGACAAGTTAGACACTATTTTAGCGCTTGCTGAAATGCCCAGTTGGTTTAGAGCCAAATCTCACTTCAGTGGTGATCGGAAATTACACCTATGTTCCTCATAAAGATGCGTTTTTAAAAAACTGTGATTTTGAAGGAAAAGAATTATTTAAGTTGGTGAGTCGAAGTTTCATTTTATGAAATTCATAAAATGGAACTTGCTTTATATTTCCTTTTGGAAATACTAGTAATATTATATTACATATATTAATACATATATTGTATTACAGATCATGGAGGATTTACATGTCTTAGAGTGGAGAGTACGTCAATTTCCGCGTTTGCCGCTCAATAAAGATGCACTCATTAACGACATCAATGTATTTTCTGAAAGAGTAAGTTGCTTAAGTGGATGTTAATTCAAGATGGGTTTTTTTTTTTTGAAGTTTCTTATGAATCCTTAGATCAGGGCAAGCTCTTTTGTTAGAATATCTTTTTATATAAAAAGGTATAACGAAACAAGAGAATTCTCAGTAACGAAGAGACAAAACTCAGTAGTGCTATTTTTGAAAATCTGGGTAGTTCATTGAGAACGAAGACGACGTATCTGTTTCTTTTGACATTTTTTGCGAAGTTGTATTCGTGCACCAATACTTTGTGGGTTATCACAATTTCAGTGTTCTAACTTTTATTTATCACCTATTCTTTTTTCACGACAGAGTACGATGTGAAGTAAAACCACAAGGGTTATATTTCATGTCATACCCTGCTATGGAAAAAGGATATGCACTAAATAAAAGTTAGAACTTTGTGATTTCGACTGCAGCTTCATCTCAATTGGGTTCAATGCCGATTTGTACTCCACAAATCAATTCCGCTGATGATGGATAGCTGATAGCACCGATAGAGTAAAAAGGTGGCCGAGAGAAACGCGAAGCAAGGGCCTTGGTGGATGAAACATGAGCCTCCGGTAAGAGTAGTCGTGGGTTTGAAGTCCACCTTAGGTAGTGGATTTTGCTTATATCTCAGCATCCTTGTGGTTGTATCACCATTTCAAATCTGTTGTGTGATTCACTGCGTTGTTATGCGGAGTTCCTTCCAGTTTGTGACATGGATTATGTAGATAAATGTTCATTCTCGACCATATTCATCGAAGCCGTGAAGAGGAGAGAGCTTTGGGTTGGCAAGCCCAATTGGATTGAAATTCATTGGGAAGAAGCGATTCATATGGGCCGGTAAGTACTTGTGATTACGCCCGAGGAAACGTTAAGATATCTCGTGACTGTAGAGGAAAATTGTTCACCTAATTTCTATACTGTGTACATTGTTTTCCCATTTCTTGAGATGGGCTACCAATGAGAGGTGATCAAATCACAAAATGCGGCGCAAATTATTGGAAACTGAAAGGTTTTGCGCAAAAAAGACTTTCCAGTTCTGCTCTTATAACATCGTCAGAGTAAACTCTTCTGAAACCTAGCAACACGTTTTTTCAAAGGCTGCAAATTGTATCGCATTTGCCCGTAATCACCTCGTTGCCATCATTGAGAAAGCCAACTAATGGCAGTTAGTGAGCCGATGCCAAGGACCTTATTATCCGCGAAAAGGAGACCTCATGGCAAATTTTAATGATTTAGTATTTATTGTGTACACATTCACTAGCCCTGAATTCGTTCAAACTACGATTTAACGAAAGTGTATCAGTTTAATGAAGTGGTGGGCGTGAACGTCAGACTAGTCTGTTCATATGATGGTTTTCACTTTGGTTTCTACATGAGACTTCATATCATTATCGTTAATGAAACCATGGGAAAAGGCTGTTAAGTACGACAAATGAGATGTGCTCGCAAGGAAGCAAGGAAAGGGGTTAATTCATTCGAGCAGTGCTGCAGTTCACTGGATTCGACTCAATCGGGCTTAAATCATGCCAGCTGCGGAAACGTTGGGCGAATAAAAGTTTGATAACGACCTCATACTAGGTTTTTGATTTAGGAAATGCTAATTTTTGTGTCTCACGACCTCCGTATCCGTCTCAAGTACCTTCACTCGCAGAAAACTGCAGAGTTCTATTCTAACGAGTTCACGCCCCATCAAAAACTTAAAGAGGTTTACGATTTCAATTCCGAAAGACATTTCGAAAAACCAACTTTGATGAAGAGTTCAACAAATAAGAATGCTTTTGGGAACACACACATGAAACTCACAATGTTTAACCTTTTGTTTACTGCAAATTATTTTTTCCGGCAGGTCGTATTTTTGATTCATTATCAGATCATAAATTCATTTATTGTTTTCCATTCATATCGGAGCGTAACTGTGGCGAAAATAATGAGCAAATAAAGAGTTAAACTTTGCAATTTTAACTGAGGATTCCACTTGACCGGGGTTAATGCTCGTTCGTGCCCCAAGACCATTCTCGTTGACGTGTGATTGCTGATAGCACTATTAAGGTAAAAAAATTGGATAAGAGAAATGCAGAGCAAGGGCCCCGGTGGTGCAGTGGATAACACGTAAGCCTCCGGAAAGGGTAATCACGCGTTCGTAGCTCACCTGGGGTTTCGAGTTCTGCTCATATCTCAGCATCATTGTGTTTATTATTCACACGAAACTCTCAGGAGGAAACCCATTGAAAGACACTGCACATGGTTCTTTGCTCAAGAGGTTCTCTCGAGGAGCATTCTCTTCACGATTCTTACTCTTTCACACATATCAAGAACATTAGATGAAACTGAAATCAGTTGAACCAGTAGCCGAAGCCACATATAAAAAGTTGGAAGGACTTTCGTAGATGATGAATGGGAGGAAACGAATCGAATATGAGAAGTGCTGAGATCCGCACAGTAGATGTGAAAGACGGGTCTTGTAAGCATAAAAATAAAATTAGAAGTTGTGACAATCTCTTTAGGAACTTGTTTCTTCTTCCAATCTTTGTCCACAACAAGATGAAACTTATGGGTTGAGGAATGATACAAATGTCATCACATATGAGAGAGGTTAAATTCATAACGACATTCGCAAAAGGCGCGAAGTGATGACTTAGTGTTGAAACGAGCTCTCCATGTATCCGTGTAAATACTCTATCGTTGTGCTGCTGCTATAGAAAGCGTTTTTTGTACATTACACGGTAGATATACATTGTATTTAGGTATCCAAGGAACTAATGAAGTACTACTTTGCTGAGGACGTCAGCGAATTCCTTAATAACAAGGTCTTTGTTCTCAAGAAACCCTTTTTACACCTAAAGAACAGTTAATGTTTCTCTCTGTGCGTTCGTGTATTACAAACACTTATATTTGAAGGCATTACATGCTAGCTAATATATTTCTAATTCCCATTTTGCTCTTGGGTTGTCTTACCATATTGTAGATTCCGGGTTGCCCATAATGCTTTGTTTTATCCCTTCAACTGCATCTATGATCGGGTAAAATTGTTAATGTTGGTATACACGTTGCCCTGTTTCTTAATTGTATTTTATGGGAATGCAAACAAGGTTTTGTATTACTTGGTAGGCCAAATTCAAAGTTGTAACGCGATTCATTAAGATAAATGTTCATGTTTCTTGTGTTATACTTAGGGAGGAATTTGGTATCAAGCCATCACCAAAGTACCTTGAATTCCTACGATAGCGAAAAGCAAGGCAGCTTAAATGGAGTCCTCCTAAATATGAGTATGAAAAGCGTTTCATTTTTTCTTAAGTTAATGCGTAGATGGTAGTAAAGGGATAGACTTTTTGGTCTCCATTGCACCTTAATTTTCTTTTGCCTTCAGATTCCATGAAAAAGCGTTCAGATGACACTGAGATTTTAATACATTCACATCAATATCGATATGAAGGTATGTTCTTCAATTATTTTGTTGGAAAATGGTGAAGCTGGGATAGACTGTCGAAGTTAGTGTAACGCGATTTCAGTGGAACCTTCGTATATGAGGTTGTTGTAGGCTTGACTATAAGTAATTTAATTAAGGTGCTGTGGAAGCAATCCCAGTATAGGTTCTCATAAGCACAGAATTTCGAGGGTTCATAACCTGATAGAATGGTACTATTAATCCAGAGCATTATATTGTCTTTGATAGCCATTTCGTCAGTTCGTGTTGATTAAGCAGAATACCATTGTCCAGTGATAAGATCCTGTACAAAATCCAGATATCAAAGAGGCACCGTTTTCTGTCCGTAAGAATATTGTCGGTCCCTCCATGAGTCGCACCACCAGGAGAGTTCAGGCTAATCGGTGGTTTTCTCTCTTCCCGAAGAATGCATTTCCATAGAAGAGATATGCTGCGAACGGAGTTCGAACGGTACAAGTTGATGAGTTACAGCTGATGGTACTTACTTTCTTTTGACGCCTAAGTTGGAGACAAAGAATGGCCAAATGCGGTGATAGGATTTCGTGTAACTAGATGGGAAATGGATGGGTTTGCGACAAAGCCAACGCCTCCATTTCTTGTAAAGAGAATTTCCTTCCGCAAATGATAAGGGTTCCGTCTCTAAATCGCCTATGTCGGTCTTGCTTTTCTTCTCTTGTGTGGTGATCACATGGAATTTGATGCGATCAGCGGCCTCAAGAAAAGCCTAAGGATCGACATCTGAAAAGACTGTCCCGGTGATATAGGTGCGGAGCAATAACCTGTTTCTAAGGCGTGTCTTGGACTTGCTCGTTCTGTCTGTTTCCCATGACGTCCTGCACAAACCGAGAATTGACCGCTTCTCACCGATTGTTGCACCGCCCGACCCTGCAGATTGCAGGGCCAGTGTGCGGAGTACTGAGACCGTAGTTTTGGTGGCTTAGCTATCGTGGTTTCTTGGAGTTCCGAGGTCGGAACTCTTTCTCAGGTCGTCACCATCCCAGGCAGTCGTCGTCCTTGTGGTTAAAAGGGAGATTTGCACCATGAGAGTGGTTTGGTACCAGAACGGTGGTGATTAGTGGGATTCATTTTACTCCCTACTACTCTTAGCTGGGCTTCTGGTTGGAAACGTCAGACTCCTTTTCAGCTTGGAAGACTCCGCCGGCGAATGAACCCTCCTCCACCCTACATCGCGGACCGATACCCAGGAATACCTTCCAGCCGCGATGAGGCGGTAAATCATTGGGAAGTCTAAGGTTAAGCAGTGTGTTTAGGAATGTTTATCACCTATTGAGCACTTTATAGCTACAACTGTTCAAAATATTTGCACGTTTTTAAAATTTGGTGAAACTTAATTGTGACATTTACCAAGCGTTTTGCGAAGATGTAATCGATCAAAGTAGCACGTCAAACATTGTGGGAATTGTATTCCGTCATGCCACTATCACCCGTATCACCTGTAGTCCCGTTGATCGTCGAGTGACTCGAACGGGCGCCACTAACTCTTCCATTTTTCCTTGTCGCGTGCAAGAGTAGCCGAGTAGGTTCTGTTCGCTCTAGGGTCTCATCGAGCATCATATCTTTCTTCAAGGGTCTTTGTGAAGAGCTCTGTCCATCGAGACGGTGGTCTTCCTGCAGTACGTTTAACATCCCGAGGAATCCAGTCACTAACGGCCCTTGTACATCAGTTATCATTCTTACGCATTACGTGTCCGACCCACCTTATATTCGACTGTGTGGCGTACAGAAGGGCATCTTTGACTTTTGATTTTGACGCAGATCGGAGCTTCGGATCTTATCCGTTACTTGGGTGGAACGGGATACTCCTAGCATCGTCCTCTCGACTGCGCGTTCACTAACGCTGAGTAGTCTATCATTTTGCTTACGCAGCGAACAGGTTTGTGACGTATACGTCAGGGCAGGAATACATCCTCGATGGTGTTGGAAGCTCCCCAAGCCGCTCGTTTCCTTATGCTCCGCTGTGGAGCTATGTCATTTATTATGTTGATTTCGTGACCTAGGTAGACATGTCTGGAGCACTCGAAGATATTCGTTCTGTTGAGCGTGAACGGGGCATACGAAGCCAAACCGTCCCCATGAACATCGTTTTTGTAAGATTTAGTCGAGGACCAATTTGTCCACGAACTTTACCAAAGTCTGCAAGCATACGTTCCGCTTGGCTAATGTTTGGTGTTATAAGGACGATGTCATCATCAAAGCGAAGATGGTGTAACTGCCGACCATCGATTTTCACTCCTATATTATCCCATTCCAATGTCCGCATGACGTTCTGGAGGTTGGCGGTAAATAATTTTGGCGAGATGATATCGTCTTGTCTAATCCCTCTTTTGACGTCAACATTAATATCGTTGTAGAATGGTGAAATCTTGCTTGTGGAATTTTTGGACAGTTCCTGAAGAATCTTTATGTACTGAGTAGGGACTCCTTGACTAACAAGTGCTTCCAAGACTGCTTCTATCTCAACTGAATCAAAGGCCTTCTTTAAATCGATGGAAGTGGGAGATAGTGGTCTTTTCTACTTTCGCAATACTTCAGTGAGCCGTGTTACCGTATAGATGTGATACGTCCTACCAAATCCATTCCGAAACCCCGCTTGCTCACATGGCTGCCCTTAGTCCAGCGTTCTGTTAGTCCTGTTTAGTATGAGTCGAGTGAAGTTTGTAGATAACAGACAGTAAACAGATTGGGCAATAGTTGCCGATATCGTGTAGGTCACTTTTTATGAACAATAACACGGTCTTGCTGGTCCTCCACTGAGTAGGGACCTTGCATTCAGACAGGTAACGTGTGAAGAGCCGAGTCAGTGTGCACTAGGACTGGCAGAAGGTTCTTCAGGTGTTCTGGTCTTATCCTGTCCGGACCTGGCGCTGTTCGATTTTTCACCGACGAAATGGTGGCATGTCAGATTTCGGAAGGAAGAACCAGTGATATAACCCATCGTCCTTATTTCATATGACGGAAGGTGGACGTGGCTATCGAAGAGATTCGAGTAGTATTCGTGAATGATTTTCTCCATTGCCTTTCTGGACGCTGTAACTGTTCCGTCTGGGCGCTAGAGTGCGGTCTTGTATTCTGCGGTCTGCGGTCAGTTTGGTCTTGTATTTGGCGAAGCTTCGGTGGACTTTGCGAATGCTTTTCCCAGCCTCTGCAGCTTCGACCATTACTGCTGCTCTTCTCTCTTTAAGATCTTCTTTTATCACCTGTCTCCCCAACAGCCAACTAATGATTTTCTTCGTATTTTTGTTGAGCAAACGCGAGGTGTTATTATTCTTCGTTCACGATTAAGCTGACGTTTCGGCGGATTTCGCCTTCC